CGAACCAAAAAATCACAAACAAAGATCCATTATCAGCGCGCTATTCCCGCAAATGATTCTTTGCACTATTGCAACTTAACCCATCAGAGAGTTGACATAAACACAAAGACACAACCATATGAGAGCAACGAAAAACGTATACACACGCCGAAAACCAGCATCGCCAAATGTGTCTGCGGGCAAATGGCACACAGCAGAGCAAGAAGCTCCGAACAAATTTCGTAAATCGTTTAAAATGGTCACCGTAAATTGTGGCCGCATTCGATTTGGAAACTGTAATTCATCGTTTTCAGTCGGTCGATCGATTCGATTGCATTGCATTTATAAACGGCAACTTTGGCATACGAATTGCAAGAATGTACCGTTTTATATTCTGTGTCTGTTTTTTGTTGGTCTTATTGCGGTTTCAATTTGGATGGAAAGAGCGCTGACAATTGGCCACTCAACGAGAAAGAGAGACAATAAACCTTCAAATAAAAGTCACATATTAGTGTAGACCTTTTTTTTTCTCTCGTTACTTTGTTGGTTGGTTGACCAAAAACCGAATGTGAAAATCGGAATTTTAACAATTCGTAATTTTTCAGCATTAACAACACAAATACATCAAATTGAATGCCTTTTGTGTCATCGCCCGTAATCTAACCAAAAAAGGGTACACGATAAAAATTGGTGTTTCGCATGACCAAATCCGTGTGTGGCAGTTTTCTGTTAGTGTTTTTTTGTTTTGTTTTATCGCAATTGCACGCATTGCTTTCTTCGTTCGTTATTTGCATGTGTACAGTTAGCAGCGCCAAAATCTGAGTAGATTTTGTTGTCTATTCAAATTTATCCAATTTATCTGAATTGAAATCGAAAGATTGAAGATTTCCAGACGAAAGCGCATCAATAGCAAAATTTTGTTTCGATCCGCATTGTAGATCCACCTTATATGGCCGTGCATCGAAATCCAAATCAGCTAATCGCTCATTGCAATCTTACACACACAATAGTGAGAAGTTAAGTTGTATACTAAAGTGTCATAACCAATACATTCAAATATAGTTGACATATACGAATGGGATAAAGTTTATCGCAAAAGCCGATGTCAGCACCAACAAATATACACAAATGAGATGACATTTATCCCATTCGAATATGTCAACTATATTTAAATGTATTGGTTATGACACTTTAGTATAAAACTTAACTCCTCACTATTGTGTGTGTAGTGTGCATCAATTACACAATTACAGTCGCACTTTGGATGCAGGGAAAAAATATGCATGAAATCGAAAACATTTTATCGCTCTAACAGTACACACGAATAAGGGCAACGAATTACCATATGATTAATTGAGATGAGCGAATCAACAACTACTTTACAAGCGAACATCACATCTCGCTTCATGATTGGCGTCAATTTCTATCGTCAACAGCAATACATATGTTCTGTTACCGGATGTCTCGAGCCTCGTTTTTCTGATGTCATACAAGATTTTGTGATGGGTTGCGGAAATCGATTAAAGTCGAAAAACTTTTTCGAAATTCACTAATAATAATTCATAAATTATGAATCATAATTTTCATTTCTCAAACATGTCTTTTGAATGTTAACTATTTTTTTTTCGGTTTGATGATTAATCGGAAATGATAATTCTATCATAAACCAAATTGGTTGCTTCAAAAAGAATTTTTTAACCATAAAAAAGTGAAATGGTTCCAAATAGCTAACTCATTTAAAAAAAAAACACTCAATAGAAATCAATGCAGAAAAATCGTTGAAACAAGTCTGGTTTTTTTCTTTTGGAATTTATTCGAATCAATAAACAGAATGGTTCTCTGCTATATTTTTTGTCATGTTTCACTCACTCAGTTAGTATGATTCAATTAATATACAGTCAATACATAAAACATTAATTAACTCTTCTCTTTTTCACAGTTGTGAATCGATAAAATGTCGTTTATGTCGTCTGCTTCATATCTAAATTCATTCGATTTAGATTCCACACATAAAAGTAAATATTAATGTTATATTATCATTATCGTTGCATTTATTTGTCACACTCGAACAGGCACACACACATACAATAATGGGCTTTTAATTGTTGCTTCACTTCTTGATCGTAAAGCAGACTGACATTCTGACTGTGAGCGTTGTTGTTGTCTTCAACATTTTCTTGACATCGGTATCGATAGCGAAGATAATGTAATAAATTAAATATTAAGATATAGATCGATTGAATCGTATTTTTATGTCTACATCGTAAATTGTTTGGTTAATTAATAAATGTGTAAAACGGCAGTCAACTGCTGGAAAATGATAAATAAATGCAATCAGAAGAGAAATATGTTGAAAGTGATGGATCAAGAAATTACCATTGGCTTTTCGAAAAATGGCAAAGACAACGACAACGACAATGATGATGACGACGGCGCGAGCCAGATGCGCAACTCGTGCTTAAAAACAATAAAAATATCAACGCTTTTTACCGTCTCTGTCTCTCTCTCTCTCTTTCTCGCTCGGTTGGTTTTTTTTGCCTTCTTGTGTCTTAAAGTGCATCAATGCTGTGTAATCTAAGCAACAGATGCTTCAAGGTACTTTTTGCACCTAAATTCACATTGAAAACAAACCGAAAGAAAGAGATCCGGCAAGAGAGAGAGAAAGAGAGATCGCAGAATTTTTCAGCGAAAAGAGTTGACATTATAATAAGGCCAAAGATGAAGATGATTGCCATTTTAGCGGTTCAATTGATCCAATTGATAATAAATTGCAATCACGTTATCACAAATCGTTCCCTGAAATTGATTTTGAATGGTTACGGTTTTGTGTAATGCTGTTTACGTAATCTGGAGAATGTGTGTGTGTGTGTGTGCTCTCTGTTCTTGTATTTACTATATCAGCTGGCACTGCGAACAACAACGAAAAAACAAACAAACAAACAACCAAGATGCGTCGCGAGTTGATTTATTTGGAAAGAGAGATACACCATTAAAAGCCTCGATGACAATTCTTCGAAATGCTCACATAATGATAAGGAATCATGAGTGTGTAGCACCGATGGGCATACCGCGTGTGCGTGTGTGCGCGCGCGAGCGAGTGAGTGCGACAGTGTTGGGTGTCGTAAATCGAGTTTAAACGCGTGCAATGCGATATGTGTTCACTTATTAGAATTGATTTGACTGCCTAGGGAGAGAGTGAACATACACGATATTTAATTACTTTTTAATTATACGCGACCTGTCCAAATCTAGTGCAGGCACGTAAAAGAGCTCATTAGATTTGAATGGGCTGTAATGCGCTCATCGTGAAACGGGCTCTCTCGATCGAGGTGGTCAACAATTTTAGCACCAATGGCGAACTGACCATTTAATCATACACTTGCATTGGGTGCGAATCAAACCGAAGTGAAGACCTTTGATTTGTTGTTGCTGCAGCGTAAATTTGTTGTTTGGAATGCTAAAGACTTGCTTTTAATGAAATGATCTCGGCCAATACATGGAAATGATTGAAATTGATCTGGCACTCGTTACCCATGTGTGTGTGTGTGTGTGTGTGTGTGTGTGTGTGTCTTTGTCACGCCTGATTGACGTTGTTGCCACCGTTGGTACCGCTGTAGCTGTATTGCATTCGCCACCAGAATTTTAATTTCACTAAATAGATAATTAATTGCGATTATGTGAGTTTTTAATTAATTTGCTGTGTACAATGAAATTTTATGTTAAACGAATTGCTGATTTCACACTCACAACACCAGCCAAGTCACTATTAATCGCTTTGGTGGGCTTTTCATCGCGTTATTCGCATTTCAGTGTATATGCCTGTCTTTCCAACTCTTTCTGGCTCTTTCTCTTTCTCTCTTCGGATTGTGCTCTCGCTGTGGCCGTTCTCGTAGTCGAGCGCGCGCGCGCACGCACATGCAGCGCAACGCAAAAGACTTTTCTACTTCATTTACATTTTATGTTCGTTTTGTACAAATTATTGCTGCCAAGCATACTCTCGGGTATGCATGCGGCATTTTTCGCACTGTTGCTGCTGCTGCTGATGCTAAAATGCGGCACAACAGAATTTGTAACCGATTGCACTTGATTCGCACGTAAAACGTTTTCATTCCATTGTTTTATAATTAATTGAAATAATGTTTTCTGTCTCTGGTTGTTTTATGGGCCTTTTTTTCTCGCTGTGCGTTCTTCTCTCGCTATCTCTCTCTCTCTCTCTTGCTCTCACTTTTTTCGTATGCGCCCAAGCGCATTTTTTTCTTTATGTGCCCCGGTCTGCCGAGTTGCGGCTACCATGCACCTACGCGCATTTTGAAAGAAAAAAAAAACGTGCGCACACACACAATATTCCGAGCCAATGACACCATTTCGGAGAGATGCGTTTCTTACAAATAAGTTGTTGTACATTTTCGTTGTAAATTTTAGCATTATCGTAGTATTACTCTTTTTGTTCTCCCTACACAATTCCCTGAATGCATCTGTTTTAATTCGTAATATTTTTTTTTTCGTGCATATTTCGCCCATATTTGCATTAACTGCGCTTAAAATTCACTGTTTTGTAGTTGAATTAATTAATTGTGCACATATATATGCGCTTGTTTTGCTACGTAGCCTCTCTTCGCGCATTGTTGTTATTTATAGCCAATTCATTTTCGCGCTTGAATCGCACGCATCGAAACAAGTGTTCTTTTTTTCTGTATTTACATACAAAACTCTTAGAATGTACATTGGGCCGCGATTAGTTTAGAATTTCCATGTCATAGCCATTTGATATTAATTGCATGTAGAACACGACTGGAAGTATGTGTAAAATCGATTGTTATCTTACGCTAGAAGCCGGTCGAAATTTTCATTTTCTTCCACAAGCAACAACAACAAACGAAAAATCACGTTAAACCGACTCGCAGTATCTAATGCAAAACACACACATTTTTTAAATTCCTAAAATTGCCAAACGATTCGAACACTGAATTTGAGAATCTTAAAATAAAATAAATGTAAACAATAAAATGTGTATACGTTACCATGTGCGTCTCAGTTGAGTGTTGACCGTAAATGGTTGGCTATGTGAATGATTCGATGAGTCTAGTTGTCGTTCGACATGCATGCAATGAATTCATTTTTTTTATCAAACACTCAATATTCAATTTGTACTATTTTTTTCTAATTCTATTCACTACTCATTGTTGTGCTTCACAAAAAAAAAACTGATATCGAAAAATCACAAACTTGAATTTAGCAATAACAACAAAATGAAGCGATGCAATTTACGTGATATCCGTAAGTCGATAACGTATGCTATTTGCAATTGTTTGACATCAAAACAAATAGTGTAATCAGTGTCACAGTTCTTTCGATGATTCAAATGGCTAGGCGCCTTATCATTTGTTTGTAGGAGATTCCTTTGAATCAGCGCACACTTATTGATTTTGACTTCTGTATTTCCGCTGACGATAAACTTCGATTGACATTGAACAATAATAGAAAACATACACTTTGAGATAAATTTCTCTTTGATCGAAAAGAAAAAATAAACAATTTCACGAAGTACCTTTTTTTATCTTTTTGCACTTGGTTTTAATTTTAACTTACAAGTTCAAGGAAGTGAATTCAGTTGAACGCACGGATTTTTCTTCTTCGAGCCGAATCTATGAAAAGCGTTTGCTTAAGAGCAGCAGCAGCGAACATGTCAAGAAATGAACATGAATTCGTTTCGTTTCGACTCTGGAATTGTACACACGAGAGATGCAGTAAGAACGAGCACACTTTGTGACCGTCGCGACAGAAACAAAATACTAACAAAACACACCCGTGAGCGCGTTACAATCAGTCGAAAACGAAAGCAAAATTTCAACTAATAGTACAAATGGTACAAAAAAAAACATCTCTCTGATTCTTTTCTCATGTGTTCTATAGTGTGACACGCGTGTGTGTGTGCATGTGTTTGTGTGTGAACGGGCGCGAGGGATTGTAAATGTGTGTTTTTATTTTATGCTTTTTTATTTCTTTTATATTTTCGGTGTCGCTCCTCTCTGTGCCTTTATTTATTTATATTATTTTTTTTCTTCCACCATTCGCTGTGCCGCGCGCTCATTCTGTATACCAACTCCATACGATCCTGTGTGCACACGCAAAATACGCTTGAATTTTTATCTAGTCCCAGTTTGGTTGAAGCCGGGAAAAATCCTCTCTTGCATGTATACACAATTCAATCTCTCGCCCGTACACAGAGCGCACAGCACACACACACACACGCACACACGCCCGTTTCAATGCTTAAAATCTCGTGTCGGTGAAAACAAATCAAAACACACCGAGAGACCCTTTTTACATGTCGATTTTTCACAAACAGGAGAAGTTCACGAGTCGTGAACACGACACACCAGCAACAGCAGCAGCAAAAGTAGGGAAAAAAACGAGGCGAACGAAAGAAATAACAACAAAACCAGTAAATGAAAATAAAGCGGAAAAAATATAAGCGTGAAACATAGAGCATACAATCGACAAACGGTGTGCGCGCTCAGCACAAACGAATCTATGTATATATGCAATACGAAACGGCGCGCGGTCCAATATAAATGAAAATTGAAGCCGAGGAGAAAAAATCGAATACGAATTTTCTGTATATATAAGCACACACACAGGCACACAGACACACATGTGTATCGCGATATGCGGAAGGGCAAGAGAGACGGAGGCTGAGAGATGTGACAGAGAGGGGAACACACAGAAAAAGTTGTAAGGAAGCAGCAGAAGAGAAGAAAAAAAGTGCCACGAAAATCAGCCGTGGTATCATCCCATCGTTTGTATGCTCATCGGCTGTGCTGTGCTGTGTACTCTTCAACGGATTCGAAATCGCGCTCGGTCACATTGTACATAAGAGCAAACGTATGCGGGGACCGAATCGAACACAAAAACACATTGTTGTATGTACCTAACGCACAGCGACAGCAGCAGCAGCAGCAGTAGGAATATAAAGAAACATCAATAACATTCAGTAACACAGCCGAAAGGCCATCCGCTACAGAAGCAAACCAAAATTCAGATCAATGTTACTGCTTTTCAACAAGAGACACTCGGCAACACAATAATTCGATAGAGACAACGAATGAGATGAGTGTGTGCTCGTGCGCCGAGCAATTTTCAAACGGATGAACATAAGAAAACGGGATATGCACCTAGAAATTGTCGATTTTCTGTACCGCACGCAATTCCATTTGCCGCTCTCAATTTTCAACTAAAACGCAATTCGACGGGTAAACCAAAAAAAGAAATCACAACTCTTCCCTGTTCAATGCCATCTCTTTTTCTGATTGTTTTCATTTGTTCTTTTCCACCTTCGGGCTGTCCGCGCTCCACTTATTTTCTGATATTTCTTTTTCCGTACATTATGTAAGAATTTTTCTTCGAGTTTTTTCCTCCTTCTGAGCAAAGCATCAAATTCCGTATTTTCATTGAAATGTATTTCATGTTTTTCGCCCAACAAATGGTTCTCTGATGATTTTACAAAAAGAAAAAAGATCACGAGCGATTTGAGTAAACAAACGAGAATATTTCTTTTTGTTGGGTAAAATGTGACCTTTGCTGTGTGTGTGTGCTAAGCTTGAATATTAGCCGACCAAACAAATATAACTTATTGCACAACAATGTTGAGAATAGTGTGTCATTTTCAATGGTTGTTTGTGTACTTCGGAATGGAGACGTGTAAAAACTCGGCTAAATTTTATTGTTTCTCCTTTTTTTGTGGTTAATTAGGAAGCAAGAAAGCAGTTCAACAATAGCAACTGGTCGGCATGAATCAATAGCGGGGATTGGAAAATTTGCATTTTCCGTCTGTTTTTACATACTTGTACATTTGATTTTTTGGTTACTTTACACAAAATCGCCGCCCGTCGAACTGACTATGTAGAACTGGTTGAATTGCAAACTTGTAATTTTATCGATTCCGATTTTTCGTTTTTCGATGGTTGTATGTCGAAATTTTTTCATGCCTCAAAATCATTTGCCCGTTAAATTTTAATGATCTCGTCTCAGTGAGCTCGCATTACACACGTACATAGCATGTACGATAGAGCAAGTCTTGACCATAAGACAAAAATGACATTTTTGAAGTTAGTTCTGTTATTTATTTATTTCGTGTTTTTTTTTCTCACTCTCTCACATTCAATCCGTCTAATGATTAGTCTGATTGTTCTGTTGTATATTCTGTGTTTTTTTTTTCGTGTTTAATGTTGATGTTACAGTGCGAATGAGCGAATGGCCGGCTGGTCATGTCTTGAGACGGTCGAGAGATTTTCTAATGAAATCGAATGAAAATGGTTTGGCGCCATTTGATTCGTTGTTGTTAGTGCATTCTATGTATGTTGTTGTTCTTTTTCTGCGTTGTTTTTTTTTTCTCTCTGCCTTGTATTTTGTGAATGAGAGCGAGCAACAAATTTCGAGTTGAAAGATTTTACGCATCACATTGCAATTGTATAATTGTATCATATATGTATGTTTCCGTGATATGCACTCGAGCGGACCGAACACTGAATCCTCGCATTTCATGTTGAATATTTCCAAATAAGTAAACACATGTTTTGCCATGGATGCGCGCTGCCTAATCGTGACGATTAGAAAAAGAAGAATAACAAAAATGGAAGAAAAAAACGACGACGACGACGAAGACGACATGAAATTGAACAGAAAAAAAAACAGAGCTGATTGTGTGTTTGTAGAAAAAAAAAGAACAATTCGTTCAAGAGCTTCAATCATTAAGCAGACATAAACTGGTTTTGTGTCGCATGAAAATACAATGCAGTGAATGTGCGCTATTCGCTCATAAATGGCCACTAATAAAAGAGAAAAAAACACACATTTTTAAGGCAAATGAAAACGAACGACATACCAAAGCCTAATCACAATTCCAATGAATTCCGTCTCGCACTCTCTCGCAATGGCTCTATGGCCACTGTTGTTGTCGGCTAGTCGGCTGGTTTCGAATGGCGACTGTATGATCCATGTACTTGTCAACACGTACCTAAAATTTTCCAGCCACTGGCCCTGATCAACAAAGTCGTCGACGACGACAATAGGATCTCTATCCCCCGGATTGGACACGCTCTTATTTGGATTATTTGCACCAATATCAATGAAGAGCAAATTATAATCTGTCAATTTGATTGAAAAACCAAGACATTATTGTGCTCTGATGGATTGAGCTCAAGAGCGGCTCAATCAAAACGATTGAAAATTTTTGCTGTTTCAATAAGTACACAAAGAAGACGATGCTGAGAAATACACATATCGATCGCACAACTAATGATGGAATTGCTAGCGTTGACATTCAACAAATCTTTGTGTACTGTTCCATTTTTTCAGCTCTCGCTGGTAAATTCATTCTCTCCATTTTTGCCGAGTGAACAGAGTCATTTTACGAAAATCACAAAATGATTTGGAAGCTCAAAAGGAAGCTTTTATCAAATCATAGCCGGCCGATTCAACGTTTCGATCAAGTGGTGCGACAATGCAATAAGAGAGAAGAAAAAAACAGTCAGACACACTCACACACACACACCGTTTTTGAGCGACAGCACAAAAGCGGCAATGATTTCAAAATTGAACGGGGAAACATGTTGCAGAGAGTGTGCGGCATCATCATTCGGTAGCCATTCCGAATACCCAAGTGAAACCAAGCTCTCCATCTCTCTCTCTCCATCATTTCAAAAACGTGCGCGTGCGCACATTCGCTCACCGCTCATGAATCATGATTTAGCACCGGCACAAATCCGATTGCATTCATCAATAAATAAATCCCATTTCGTTTTGCAGAAAAGTACGCGATTGAATGCCATTTTGTTCGATTACAAATTTAATCGTCTTACTTTTTGTTTTCTTTTTTTTCGAGTGTGCATCAATGTTCGCCAAGCCTGCGATTTTCTCCTGACTTTTGCTATGCTGCGTTGTCGTCGTTGTTGTTGTTGCGAGATTTATTTTCTTGCATTTCGCCAGTGTTCGCTTCATATACAAATTTTTTCATTCATTTCCTTTGCCGAGCTTATCATACTCGTCGCATTTTTTTTCCACCACTGTCTGTTGTCCTTTCAACCTTATAGACAGTCATCTTTTTTCGTGTTCACTTCTTCATTCTTCAATACGCAAAAGGCGGCTACTTCAAACACGATACGTTTTTCTCAAACGGGACAAAATCGCCTTACATCCACTTTTCAGTTCGAGCGAGAAAAAGAATACAAACAAGTATGGGCGAAATCATCCAATCGAGAGAGAGAGAGAGAGAGAGAGAGAGAGAGAGAGAGAGAGAGAGAGAAAAGACGGGCTCTAGCACTTGATTCGGGGAAACACACGAAAGAGTCGTTTTCACAAACGAAATATCAACAAACGCATGAAATATCATTGGACAATTGGTGGACGATGTGTCGCGCACATTTGATATATGTTTTTTTGCGTATGCTATTCGCATATGAAGAGTGATACCGTGTGCGCTTCCATTTGATTCAAGTATTTTAGGAGCTTACATTCGCATGTTTCCCTATAGTTATGTCGACGAAAAAACGGAATTTGTTAATTATTGAATTATTGAAATGCATATTTGCCACTAATATACATGAAATACATTCGATAAAGCCATTAGATATTATTATAAAGCATAGAGCACTTGATGGATTTAATGCTTGTTGCTGAGTTACGCATTATTTCAACGAGACATTTGCTGTTTAACAGGTATCCATTTCAATTGCTTCGGATAAATTTGAATCTGTTGCATTATCCTACTCAACTCATCATCTCCCTGCATAATCTGAATTTAGTGCGTTGCACCCATCTCTGATGAAAGTCTCTTGCTCTGCCTCACACTAGCGCTATCGCTGTGAAGTGAGATTTCATGGAAAATTGAAG